ACTCTTTGGTGACTCTGTTATTTTTCCTCATACTGATTTTTATGTCATTATGGCGTCCTGTATCTTTGTTAGTGAATCCTGTTGAATCTATCGGAATATTACGTAATTAGTCGTGTTTTAACTAGTTTCTCTTAATCAGACAAGCATTAATAATTCATTCATTATAATTCTAATTGATTTGTCTTTACCATGTATTATTTTTGTATTTTTTCGTGATTTCCCCTCTTGCAATTCTATTTAACCATTTACTTTCCTCATTCATAATATACAGCGTTCTGTTTGACCTTGTGTAGAATACAGATAGTCATTTATAGTCTGTATGTATCGTCTATATGATACTTGCACTGTTTCCTTTTGTTGAATATGATATGATTCTACGCGCACTCGCATCAATTTTATAATGGCTGTGGTAAGGACTATATCTTTTTTGCTTGTATCCACGTATTCTTTAGACATGTTACAATAAGTAATTTGACATTCAGTAGTTTGCAGTGTAGATTACTTTATCTGATATTCAAATTTTACTTATTTTATGAACAGTTATTTTGGATAGGCTTTTGCAAATCAATGTTGAATGTTTGACGATCTACTGATGTGTCCATTATACGTAACACTAATGATAGTTTGATGAAAAGCCTGTGATAGAACTCTAAAGTTTTTGTCTATTAACCTGTATGTAAAATAATAGGGAAACATCCGGTTTTGTGTCTAACGATCAATAAAACTATCCGATGTTAACTTGTACAATTACTTAATTGCGTAACTATGATAATGAGTGTATCAGTCACCCGTCTCTAACATAAGATGGATCAGGACAGTTTAGTTTTATAAATCGATGATTACATATGAGAATTATAAACAATCCCACCCCAATGAGCGTTCTGGAATCGAATCATTTTAATGATTTTTCTAGTTACTCATAACTTATTTGAGTACATAAAGTTTTTAGGGCCTGTTGTAAGTCGGTCGATGGCCCCAAACTATAGGAAGATAATTAATCTGTTTTATCTTAAAACTTTTTTATTGTGATTTAAAGGAAGCACTGTTATCTGTCACTAGCTTCTTTCATTCTTTTCAATGTATACTGCGAAAGCAACGGTTTAAACATCAATTTATCAATAAGCTGCGGATTATTTCACTTTCTAAGTTTTAGCCTTATGAACGCAAATAAGTTATGAGAAACACCGTTAAGTTATTCTATGTGCATCGCGAAAAACGACCTGACTGAATTTTCTTGAACATACTACTGAGTTATTAGTTATTCTTAAATACGATTACGTATTAGGAACTTGAGGCGAAAAATGACAGACTAGGTTTGATTACTTACGTACTCATGGAAAACGTCTTCACTACCTGCATGTGCGAATTCTCAAAAGCCTTATTTGGACCTTAATAAATAAAGTGAACATCGATAGGTAAGGTAAGAGCACTTCATTAGACGTGTTTTCAATTCACACTTAGTAGTTATCTGGACAACGTTTCCAGCATCTGTCGTTACCACATGCTATTTATCAGGAAGTAACACGTAGACTGAATAAACTTGTTTATTAAAGCGTCTATTTACATGCCACCAAGCATTACTAAATCACGATCACCAATCAGAATGCCGACTTATTGTGCGGGACCAGTGTTGCGTTAACCAGCACGAATAGCCTTGAGTCAACTATGGGTCCATATTGCTCGTCCGTATAAGTAACCTCTCGCTTAGCTCAGTTCTTTAATTTCGGAGCACAAATATCAGCCTCCCCCCCATAGGAATCATATATTTCAGACATATTAGGTTTATATACAAACAAACCAGATCTTATCACATCACAAAAGTAGGAATATTAATTATACAAAGTTAAGCCAAACATGGATGTGATTCAGTATATTAGTAGTCGACAAGTCGAATGAAAGCTTGTCATAAGGGGAATATAGATGTATGTAATCCAGTCACTCACTAGTTATACAATACAATATAGAATATATACATATATATAGTAACAGTCTGTAAATAGTTCTCGTAATTCACAAATAGTATAATATTCAAATACAACGGTATCAAAGCATAATATTTCGTTGATTTTTTTAAGGATAGGCATGTATATTTTTTATGAATATTAAAAACAGGGGCAGGTCGTTATTTGTTGTACGGACTGGTCAATACGCCTATAGGCTATTGACAATACTGGCTTCACAATTCGTTCACAAACCAAGGCATTAATTACACGCGGTTTAAATAACTTGTAAGGTGGATTTATGCTTTAAATTTCTTTGAAGGGTGTTGAAATTTATTTTAATTACTTGAATTTATCTAAATTTGAACATGGCACTGTAGTGTTGTAGGGCCAATGATATGTCACTAAGCCCTAACCAAATCATCCGACATTTGGGTCTCTGAATATCGAACAGATCATCGACCCCTATCAAAGACAAAGGCAACCAACGCGTATACGTTGGTCGTGTGCCATGGACTGGCCCATGCGGTCGTGGGCCTACTATATTCTCTGTACTCATTCTTACTAATATATATCCGTAATAACCTTCTTTGTGTCGTACGGTATTCAAAGCATCCATGGACATGGATAAATAATATTTTTTGCATCTACAAAATGAAGATCATATCTTTCTTTCTGTTGTTCTATGTTTAATCACGTTTATATTCAATATCTATTGCTCATTTGTATCAATTGTAAACGGACATTTATAATTGGTAAATAGCTACACATGCTACTTTCAATTTTTATACAAACGATATCTATGCCATTTTTCTACTTTATCAGCGACGGTCTGTGATCCGATTATTATATTAGGGTCATAACATTCTTTCTGGTCGCTCTGTCAACGTAGGATTATTGGGTTGGGTTATTTTTCGATAACGTTATCGGATCTATGTTTCTCTTCATGCCATTGGTCCAAAATCTGCAGATTTGGGGGTGTTTCCTATTGTTACTAATGTTAATAGTTACCAATATTGTAAAACCTTAATCAAGCAACGGATACTTTGTAGCAACGCGAAAATATATACCAGTACTGCTGATATGCGTAAGTGTACATAACAGCTTTATCTTCAGACGTCTCATGCTTCATAATGTAACTGTAGAATGCAATTCCTAGTTGAAAACGTCTAGTTAATCGTGGCATCGCAAGATGGTAGTGTGTCCTAAAGATACTACATTAGTTTAGTCTTATTCAGCTTGTTTGGATATCTTCTGTTCCTGGAATTTGACAGTTGGTACATCACGCACGTGTTACTCAATACTAGTCTGTTCACAATCTGGACACAGCGCACAAATTATGCCTAACGCACTTTACAAATTTCATCAGTGCTTGCATGCGGAACTGAAACTCGATATTGTTCACAAAGAAGACAGCAAAAGATCCCTTTAATAGTGCTTCATTTTGAATGAATTGCAATGGAGTGAAGTATTTAGTTTCACATGTAACGGAGAACCAGTAGTTGTACTAGGCTAAGCACAAGAAACCCGGATTTACGTATTTTACTACTATGGATTTTTTTACTGCATTTCGGTTGGATTGTAGAACAACATGTGGTTTCCTTAACTTATCAAGTTTTACGGCTACAAAATATTTAGTTTGGCACAAGACTTCATTGCATCTCTTGACCAGGCGTGTAAATGACTTAACATTACAGTTAAACGAGCCAAGTATTTAAACGTCAGTTACAAAGCTAACATTAGCTGACCTTGCCTCAAAAACTATTCGTCCTTATTTTAAATGATTGTTAACACTATGAAATATTAGTTCCTTGTGCTGATAATTCCCAACTCAGACTTTAGCAATGTGAACTATAATCTTCTTTTTGTCTCTCTACCTATAGTAAAATGACTGGTTTGGTGGTTGAAGATTCAAAAATATTGTAGCGGTAAATAAATCTACAAACTAAATAGCTCTGTAAGTTTTCGACATTGGATGCTGACCATATGTTTTAGTGGACTCATCTAGCTGAAGGCGCTCGGTCATGCATCCACATCAGATCACGTATGGTAACGCTGTGCTCAACATCCATCGCAATCACTAGCCAGATTAGATCAGAGAATTCCCATATATTGGTTATCGCCAAATACACTCTTCCGATCTCCCCGACTCTGTCTTTTGATTTCTCTCGGTGGGAAAAAAGTATATTAGAAGGTGTTACTGGTAGAAGCGTTGTCAAACACTGAATACCTGTATCATCCTCAATATTAGCCCCAGCACCATCGCTTAATAAAACTTCGTCATTGATTTTATATCGGTTTAATGTGATCTGAATTCGCGAACCAGGTTTCGTAACAAACACAGACTATTGTAAAAGTGTACTGCATCTACTTATAGAGATCACACTGCATAATTATGTGCACAGATACCAAACCCTGACTACAATGATGTGCATGAGTTTTCCAGTTGTGAAATTGACGTTGAGTGCATACCCACTAACTGTTTGCGAACTGAAAAAACATGAATTCTGGGTAGGTTGTCCGTCAGTGGGTCTTAACAAATTTGGAATTCGTTTAACTGAATACCATGCATTTTGACTGAAGCAAAATATTACTCATGTATGACTAATTTCATGATGAAGCAGCTGTTCATAGCATGAAAACTTTTAATGGCAATGTATGTTTGCTGTGGCTTTAAATAGCAAAAAAGCGTCCATTCTCTTCTGATACCATAACATTCGTCACTCTCGTAATTTGTCCGACTATTGAGTCAATAGTGAAGTCGTGTTTCATATCTCGAACTGATGATAAATTTGGTTTCTAGAAGTGCTGTGGTTGATCACTAACCTACCACAAAACTTCAAAAACAAGAGATTTCTGTGCAAATCAGACGTTAGTAATTATCTATCAGGAAATTGTTTCACTGATAATAGTGATTTGAGGTAACAAGGATTTTAGCGGAAGTTTAGACGGTAAAAATAAAGTTGCGATGACTAAAATAACCTCACACTACTAACGACAATACACCAAGCCTAATGAAAAACTAGAGCGGTACTCGTTACACATGCACTTCTTTTAATGCTCTGCTGTATTTGAATACTCAGGGTCGGTTACCAAGTTGGGGATTGGTTGTATGTTGGTGGCTTCAAGGTACCTATAGTTTTTTGTTTGTGATAACCTTGATTTTGAATTTATATTTGTCTGACCTATTGATACTAAGCAATGGGACTACAATTTATGGACGATGTTTGAGTGATACTACAATACACGATTTCGTGCAAAGATTCAAGGCTTGCTATTTTAAATCTCATTGGTTTGTCCATTGATTTTAGTCTCGCTCCTCATCAACTGATTATCAACCTTCACACAATACTTAGGTATCCAAGCTTGCATCCATTATGAGTAATTACTGCTCTAGTACTAGTCCGCAAACGGTTCTTGCTGCTCGAATAATTGGATGGTGTTTTCACGGGTTTCGTTCTACTTCTGAAAAATAATGCAAAGCGAGCTGTTGTACAATATACTCGCTCGTTTCTAAGATCATGGACAGGTGTCAGACGAGAAAATCCAAATAAACCATATCTACATGTAAAGATTCTCTACCCTATTAACTAGCCAGGGCTGACTGGGCTTTCAAAATAAGTTCAGTATTCTATATTTTTTGTCACTATATTCTGCTCTTGGGTTAGCCACTGTGATAGGTTCGTCTCCAACTAACATCTCACATTTGAAACCAAAGAAACAACCTGAAAACTCTGGTATTACAATCTAAGATATTCAGTAACCCCTAGATCTTTTCAACTTCCATACCTAACTGGATAATGCCAACAGGTGATTCTATCGTCAGAATGTTAGTTCTTGTAGAGTTAGGCGAAAAAACCGGCCTCTATACGCAGATTAAATAGGGGTTGGAAATTAAAGTCTTAATAAATGCTACTTGACCTAATCATTAAAGATTACGTTCTATCGTAAGCTTTGATTCGATCAGTAGTGTCTGAATAAATAAATTTCGGAATGTTTATATAAACTCTTAAATTCTTTAGTGACGTTACAATTACCTCTTTTATACCATTAAATGCCATCATATCAGGAAATATATCGACACCCAAGAAACTGAACGTTCCAGAATCCATCAAAGGAATAATGTTTGCCACATATGTCCGCAGATAGTTAGGAGACCTATTTGCTCTTAAATAGGATGTTTCTAAGGTCAGTTTGAGCGCCAGATCATTATGGGAGCCAAAATTTTAGATTATATCATTTACTATAGCACTTATGAATTCCTCCAGTGTATAGATAACCACCAGCCCACAACAACTGAATTAATCATGCTTCGTCTGTGTTATGAAATTTGACAGTGACGAGACTTCTTTTTGAATGAGTTGAACCGTATCTTTTATAGTACCTAACTTTTCAAATTAAGGTGAGAATAGAGTACTAACAAGTAACAGTCAGTCAGTCAGCTACAACGTAGGACCAGGCACATATATACATCGGTCCAGGTTGCCATACCTCGTTAGCACAGCAAGATGAACACCGGATTCATGGGAGTGGTTAGGTTAAAGGTGGTAATATATAGGAGAAAGATTGCATATAAGGATACAGTACCGGAATATAGAATTAGTTCGTAGAAAGATATAAAGCGATTTTAATCTCTTAGTTTAAGGGAAGACAGGAAGTGTATACACCGACGCCATTGTGATCGATTCTGAGCCATGTCATCAAGAGTCTCCAACCATCGGTTACGAAAGTCACGCGGACCCCAACCAAGTAGTCTGCATCTACCAACATGGCTCAGACTAGAGGTTAGTGTCTTCAAGCATTGATGCCACGTTTTGGTTTGGCCGCCCCTAATTCTCTTCCAACCATCTCTAACACCCGTTAGCATTGCACGTTGTGGTAATCGGTGTTCAGGCATACGTAACACGTGACCCAACCATCTCAGTCGATGAAGATTAACAACCTCATCAACTGATTTACCATCATTACCTAATACCCTGCGTCTAACCTCACTATTACTTACCCGGTGATCCCAACAGACGCCAGCAATATTTCTAAGGCATCTGTGGTCAAATACTAGTAGCTTACGGGTGTCTTTTACTCTTAATGGCCATGTTTCGCTGCCGTAAAGTAGGACAGAACGGACTGCCGCGCAGTATACTCGTCCTTTTATTGATAGACGGATATCTCGCCTTCGCCAAAGGTGACGTAAGTTGGCAAAAGCCAAACGAGCTTTTCGAATCCGTGCTGAGATTTCGTCTGATACCAGCCAATTAGGGCTGATCAGACTTCCAAGATAAGTGAAGTTGTCGTCGCGTTCGACCATTTCACTAGATATCCTGAGTTCAGGTGTTGACGCAGGCCAGTCCTGAAGCAACAACTTGCATTTAGAGGGAGAGAAGCGCATTCCAAACATCCTGGCATTGTTGCTCAGTGCTACCAAAAGACTCTGCATTTTATCAGCGTCTTCACCAAACAGGACTATATCATCTGCGTATTCTAAGTCGATAAGTGGACCTCCTGGAAGGTGATCAATATCTGAAAATTCAGTCGACGACAATGTTATTTCCATCAGTAGGTCTATGATGAAGTTAAACAGAAATGGAGAAAGTGGATAGCCTTGACGGACACCACTTGAGGTTGCAAAACTAGATGACAGTTCGCCATAAGCTCTGACTCGACTAGTAGTGTTCGAGTAAAGAGCCTTTACAAGGTTTATGTACTTCTGGGGTACGCCTTTCAATGACAGACACTGCCACAGAATCTCGCGGTCTACCGAGTCAAATGCTGCTTTTAAGTCAAGAAAGACCACCATCGTCGGACGCCGATAAGTATGCCTGTGTTCTAGAACCTGACGAATGGTGAATATGTGGTCGATGCAGCCACGACCATCTTGGTTTTCTCGTGTTTGCAGTTCACGAGTCTTAGTTAGGCGTCTGATTATTATTGAGGCTAGTATTTTAGATACTATATTTGTTAAACTAATCCCTCTGTGGTTGTCACCAGATGATTTTGATCCTTTCTTATATATTGGGACGATAAGTGATGGCGACCAGTCAGATGGAATAACATCTAACTCCCAGATCTTAGCTAAAATATTAGTCAACCTAACCGCTAAAATTGGACCACCATCCTTAAAGACTTCTGGAGCCAATCCATCTGGACCAGCTGCCCTTCCTCGTTTCAGATTAACTATAGCCTTTTGAACTTCAGCTAGAGTTGGGGGACCTACTTCAATGTTCCATTCACACTGTCTGGGAATGGACGGTAGTTGTAGAGTCGCTGAAGGCCAGTTGAACTGTTCCCTAAAGTGTTCCGCCCATCGTTCTAAACGTCTGGACTGGGAGTAGATGAGAGTATCGTCCTTTTCCGAAATAATCTCATTTACACTTGACTTATTAGTTCCAGTTTCTTTTATTACTCTGTAGAGCTGTCTTGTGTTCCCTATAGCCGCCGCCTTTTCCATCTCTTTTGCTTTCGTTGCCCACCACTGCTCATGGTCGTTTCTTAGACTTTTTCTTAACCTAGATCTGATTTGTTATCGCTCTTCATCATGTTCGGAACCTGATAGAACGAGTTTGCGAGAATCCATCAGTGTGATAGACTTTGAAGAAATCCACTGGTTCTTTGTAAATCTGTGGGTTAAGTCACTAATAGATTTCATTGCTGTTTCCACAGCTGTTTTTATATCTTTCCAAGCAACATCTGGGTCGGCCTCGTTTTCAGAACTACCTAAGTGTGACCTCAGTTGTTCCTGGAACTTACTTTTGGCTTTCTCGTTACTCAACTCAGTTCTAATGTGTCTTTTTAATGTGGCTTTTTTGCGTCCAGTGAGGCGCAAGCAGATGCGTGCCCGTATTAGGGCATGGTCGGAGTCCAAGCAGGTACTCCAGAATGAGCGACAATCTTCTACCGACCCTCTCCAACGATGACTGATGGCAATATGGTCTATTTGAGTCCATCGTTGGTTTGGTGTAGGGGGTCGCCATGTTAGACGATGTCTCTCCTTATGCTTAAAATTTGTGTTTGCTAAAAATAAACTATTGTCTGAGCATAGTTGCAGCAGACGATCACCATTATCTGTTCGTTGTGCCGGTATACTAAAATACCCACCTAAATGCCTTTCTGTTTGGTTTAAACTACCTATCTGGGCATTAAAGTCACCTGCTACGAGTACTATGTCTGAACGTTTAGCTTTCTGAAGAAGTTCAGATAGCTTTCTGTAAAATTCATCCTTCACTTCATCTGAGCTGCAGTCGGTGGGAGCGTAGGCAGAAACGACAAAAAGGCAACGACGTGTGTCCCTATCCTTCCGAGTTCTTATGGAGCCGTTTAGCCGGACAGCACATAGACGACTGTTGGCGGGAATCCACTCTAACAGTGCTTGTTCGGCCCTCATGCTTAGTGCTATGCCTACACCTGCCAGTCCACGAGAGCTGGCCATCGGGTCACCAGATACACGGAGGGTGTATCTCGTTGGCTCTCCGTTTTGGCGAGGTGAGGTCAAGTGAATGACCACACTGGGATCCTGTATGCGTGTTTCGGAGACACAGCACACATCAATGGTACGAGATTCTAGGGTTCTAGCCAAGGAAGCCTGTTGACCGATTCGACATAAGGTGCGTACGTTGAAGGCTCCAATGTGTAGTTTGGAGCAAGGTTTCAGTAGACCTGGGACAGTGTTTTGAGCACTAGAATCGTTGGTCATGGTGACACTTGAGGAGGAAGCCAAAAGAGGGAGTTTTGTGTTGAAAGTCGAGGCAGGAGGAATAATAGGGACTGAAGTAAGAGGTTAATTATGGATATAGTGGTCTTGAGTGCTGTTAGAGATGTGAGGGCGGTTATCACTTCCCGGTTGCCCACACCGTGGAAGGGTTCTTCTGGAAGTACCTGAAAACGAAATTGGATTAGAAGTGGGTGGTTTTGGTGACTAGAGAGCGTGGCCTGAGTGCCAAAGAAACAACTGGTTGAGGTCGGTCACACACGACCATTTTGTGAGTAATTTTCGTGTTAGCTCTGTACTTGTTGAGACCTTACCACCGGAGACGGATATCCGTGGGATAAGGCGAGGTGTGCATTTTTAGGGTCGACCTTTTCTAACCCCACCCCTCCTTGTGGGAAGGCAGCATCGCTGTCATGCTGGTTGTCTG